CTTTTTTTCACACCTGAAGGCAACTCTGAGGTTTTTTTTTTCAGTTTTTTATAGCAATTACAATGGTTTTTATTGTTATTGCTTTCAATATTTTTTATGATTTATTTATTATAGGTGAGAAATTTCATTCCAGGTCCGGTCTTCACAAAACATTATGTAAAATGTTTTCAAATTGATCAGTTTGTCCCAGATTATTATCCAGCTAGTAGCTAGTAGACACTTAGGACAAGGTTTACAAATCATTTCCTACCTGACAGGCCTATAATAGAAAATTCTGACCTCTGAAGACCAAAACAAAATTTCTGCCTGCTGTTTTTTTGTTTTTTTTTTCCATATGTTTGTCTGCTGAGTGGACACATTAAAAAATAAAAGACATTTGACTGTTCACACTCAAAGCCAAGGGGGTTAGCTTCATTTAAGACCTGAACCAGGCTCCTGCTATGTTCTGCTGCAGAGATATAACAAAATGTTTAAGGTGTAGGAAATTCCAGGCGGACATGGGCTAAAAGGGTCTTCAGCAGTAACTGTCAGTGTGTATGAGTCCTTGGTTTCTTTTCCAGTGAAGTGCCATAAAGGCATGACGTCAGAAAGCCCTGTTACCCTCAGAGTGTAGATGAACAGTGGGAAGACACAATTAACCAGACTCGGTGTGGAGGGGAGGGCGTGGAATAACATACAACAGATAACATAGCGACTTCACTACTGCGAGGCCACGCCATTCTGTGCCTTAAACAAAATGCAAGCATGGCGATTCTGAAGTTCAGTCTATGAACCTACAGTTTGGGGTTAGCGCAAGTGCAAAACCTAACATTGCAAGGAATTTAAGACACGAGTGATGTGACCACCTTGGCAAGATTCACACAGTGATTCCACAGTGTACACAATCGGTGAAAGAACAACAAAACACAAGAACCATTTGTCTGCTACCGAGACAGATAACACAGGTAACAGCCTAGTCATATCTCTAAGATTGAAAACGAACAAATTTGCAATATCATGCACATGACATTCGGGATCTGTGTTCAGACTTCACCCCCAGATTCTTCCTTTTGAATATCAAAGTTTCCATCCCGCCTGCTGACACTGTTGTTACTGTATTTGGTTTACGGAAGTAATGAGAGGAACCCAATAACATCCTTAGTTCTACCACATGTATGGTGCAAAGAATTGGCATTCAAGCTTTTATATCAGAAATGCAATCGGAGAGTACTGAAAGCCCTCTCAGAAACTGGTGGACATCAATTTCAAATTCAGTATCATCTGTAATGCAGGGCATGTAACTAAAGTATTTGACCAGGTAAAAGCGTGACTTCTAAACAGTTGAGGATGTAACCTGACCAAACCAAGAAATAAAACCACTAAGAGAAAAACAATGTGAACAGTCAGCTAGGTCAAATTTAAACCCCTCAAGAGCAGTACAAGAGAAGCCAAACAAGCTTTCTGACCACATAAACAGTAAGTCATTATTTCTGTATCAAATGCAGAGCTAAGAATCAAAAAGAATTGAGATAGTGCAGTCGAACCCGATCACACAGTGAGACTATTAGTAACATAAACAAGAGCAGCTTCAGTGCTGTATAATTGTCAAAAGCCAGACTGAAAAGGTTCAAGGTTCACTTACAGCGAAATGACTAGTTGCTCTACCTACCTTATGTTCTAATATTTTCACAAGAAAAGGCAGGTTTGATGTAGACTGAAAAATATCCAAAGCCATGTTAGTTTTTTTAAACATTGGGATGACTGGAGGAATATTAAAAGCTTCTGGGACCAGGCCAGGACTCAGGGAGTCCTTTACAATATTTCATTAAGCACCCAGGGGTAAATGGCAGACAAAAGAGCAATGAAATAAAGAAATGGAATGCAGTCCAGGAAACAGGGGATGGGTTTCATATGTGATATCAAATCAGTTAGATGTGGGAGTTGGTTAAGGAGAAAAGAGGAAAACTACTGAAGCACACAAACAAGCTGTCAACACAGGCAAGAGAGTGAAGCTGGATGTTTTCATTCTTAGTTTGTAGAAAAACCTAAAAAAGGCTTTCAAGAAATGAGATGAAATAGGTAATACAAAAGACTGTTATTCTATAGCAGCAGGTAGTGGAAAACTAGAGGTTTTTTTATTATTCTCAATGATATGATAAAAATAGATTTAGCTGTTGCCATAGGACCCCCATTTTCAACCAAGTTCTTCTACTTGAAGACTTGAAAATGTGCTTTTTAAACCACTGACTTTCCACCTGCAGTGAAGCTGGCCAGTACAGTATATCATGGAGCACAGTGACCACAGAGGACACTTTTCACTGGGGCCACGGTATCACAGGGATGTATTGTATTAGGAAGCTATTGAGCAGGTGAACCTTTTCTTCCAAAGTACAGGAGGCAAGGAAAACAAGGAAGTGGAGAAAGAAGACAACTGGAGAATCTAGCATGGTCAACTGGCCACCAGTGAAAACTTACACTTTTATGGTCAAGCTAAGGACAGGAAAGTCCACGTCAACAATAAGAGCAATGTGATCTGAAAGACGTAATTCAAGATGAGTCAGCTGCAAAAAAATTATATTAGTGATAAATCCAAAATAAGACCTTTTTGAGCTACTTCGTGGGCAATTGCTGTAGGACCAAAACAATCCAAAAATGTTAGAAATTCTGCTGCTTGATTAAGATGTTGAGAGTCCAATGTTAGTCTAAACCTAGAAAACCAATGTTAAGCTTAGGAGGTCTATATACTGAAATAACGATCCCATGGTTATTGAGCAGAATCTTTTAAAACATAACACTCACATGATGAATACTCAGGTATAGTAATGGAAATGAGAATGAGGATCATTATCAGACCACCTGTGCCTCCGACAGTTTAGAAACATTTCTCAAAGAATGTTTGTCTAGGAGATGCAGTCTGATTCAACAGAAGGCTTTCTCTTTGCTGTTGCCAGGAATTTAGTTAAACAAAGTCTAGAAGTCATGTAGTAACAGAGCCTTATTATTTAACAAACACATACAGTGTCCCCCAGAATTATTGGCACCCTTGGTAACGATGAGCAAAAAGTTATAGAAAAATGTCTTTGTTGTTTATCAGCTTGATCTTACACTGAAAATATGAGAGAAATCTAACTTCTCGGTAAGGTGAAATTATTCACACAAAAAAAACTCCTTATAAAAAAATAAACATGTGTCACAATTATTGGCAACCCTGCATTTAGTACTTTGAGCACCCTCCCTTTGCCAAGATAACAGCACTGAGTCTTCTCTTATAATGCTGGATAAGGTGGGAGAACACATATAAAGGGATCTGAGACCATTCGTCCATACAAAATCTCTCCAGATCCTTCCGAGTCCTTGGTCCTCGCTTGTGGACTCCTCTTCAGATCACCCCACAGGTTTTCAATGGGGTTTAGGTCAGGGACTGGGATCACCACTGCAAAAGCTTGATTCTGTGGTCAGTGAACCATTTCTGTGTGGAGTTGGAAGTATGCTTTGGATCATTGTCCTGCTGATGGTTAGATCTGCTGAAAGATCCAACCATGACCCAGTCTTAGCCTCCTGGCACAGACAGCCAGATGTTGATCTAAAATCTCCTGGTATTTGATGGAGTCCATGATGCCATGTATCCTAACAAGATTCCCAGGGCCTTTGGAAGAAAAACAGCCCCACAACATCACAGATCCACCACCATACTTCTCAGTGGGGATTAGGTTCTGTTCCACATGACCTTAACTCTTTTTATACCAAACCCACCTCTGGTGTTTGTTGCCAAAAAGCTCTATTTTTGTCTCATCTGACCATAGAACCCAGTTCCAATCAAAGTTCCAGTGATGTTTAGCGAACTCCAGGCGCTTATGTTTGTGGTTTGATGACAGCAAAGGCTTTCTTCTGGCAAGACTTCCAAATAGTTTCTTGGCATGGAGGTTGAGTCTAATTGCAGTCTTGGAGACTTGGTGACCCCAGGAGGCAACCAGCTCCTGCAATTGTCCAACTGTGATTCTTTGTGAAAGTTTTGCCGTCTCGAACCATCCTCCTCACTGTGCGTGGGGGCAAAATACACTTGCGTCCTCTTCCAGGCAGGTTCATCCTAGCTCCAGTTGTTTGAAACGTCGTTGTTCATAGGAATTGCTAGGGTAGCCAATAATTGTGATGTGTTTTTTTAGAAAAATGTTTTTTTTTTTCTTTGAATAATTTTACCACACTGAAAGGTAAGATTTCTCTCATATTTTCAGTGTAAGATCAAGCTGATAAACTACAAAGACATTTTTTCATTTTACTCATCTTTACCAAGGGTGCCAAGATTTCTGAAGGGCGCTGTATTAATCAAGGATAATCAAGATGACCTAACTGAGGCAGATTGTTTGGAGCAGCATGGGAAAGGTTCAAGTAAATTGATTTAGTCAGAGTGCCAGAGTGAGATATGTTAGGACTCCACGGAGTAACAGATTTCAAATAGGTTGGGATAAAACAGCTTCCAGAGCTATGTTGACTCTGTGCAAAAGCTCAAGCTGTCATCGCTACTCATAAGCAAAGCTGTCTTTCCATAATCCTGCTAAACTAAATCAAATACTTTAGCAATGTCACAATTTAAATATAATGTGCAGCAAAGAGATAGGATATATTCTTAGAACTTTTCAGGGACAGGTGGGCAACATTTTTCCTTTTTTCTGCAGGTAGAAGAGCAGGCTGACTGTAAAATCCTAAATGGGTATTTCATATCTCCTTTGGAGCACTTTGTCCCAGGCATCATGCCAAAGGAGTCTGTGAAAGCCAGGTAAGTTTCTTCCCTTTTATTTTTGGAAACAAATCAAACAAAATGTGAATTATCTAACAATCGGCACAGCTATTTTTTGTCACGGTACCTGCGCAGTATTGTGCAAATGTTTCTCCTTTATTTTCTTTTAATTAGCACTTGATCATTGTTAGGGAACAGCGAGACCTGGACTGCTGTTAACATGCAGTCAAGTTGCTGCTTGTTAACAGATGCTGTGAACATTCGTCCATTGTCGGAGTAAAATTAAACAGGAGAAAAACTGGACCTTGTTTTCACAGCAAGGCTACGGAAAATATTGTTTGGTAATAGAAGCCCATGGAGGGGCGTATTTCATGCCAGCAAAAAGGGGAGCTTTAGTAAGACAAATACACATTTTCTAACTAATAATAAAGCCAACGTATGTATTTTATAGCAGGAGTAGGTTGAAAGAATCTCACAAGGTGCAATTTGGAGAGCTAAAATGATAGAGTATAAGTCTGAAAAGGTACAGTATAATAAAATAGTGAATTTGAGCATTTTAATAGTCAGTGGAGCATAGATTTGAAGTCTAAGACTACTACCCTTTGGAATAATTTGATGGTGTACGTTGAACAGTAGCTGAATTACTTTAATTCTTAAAGAAACAAAAAGATGTCCGGCAGACTGTTTTCCCACAGGTGGCAATCACTCTGGGCTGTGCATTATCATACCCAAACTGCCCAAAAACCTAAAGGAGGCCAAACAAAGCATTAATCCTATAATACGTTTTCAAAAATAAATGATCTTACAGTCTCAAACAGGAGTTTAAATTCACCACCACTGGTTTTAATTTGACCAAAGAAGTTGGTCCCTAGCAAGAATTTTGTTTCTTAACCACTGACATGCAAAACATACTTCCTTCAGATGATGTGGTCTCTGACAGTTCCTTTGAAATGACATATGTCCTCCACAAGAGACTTCAGGACCATGTACTTTCTTCTGCTTTGCTGTCACATGTTGTGTTCAGTGGTCTGTAGAGGTCCAGAAATATTATTTTATATATTTGCTGCTTGGTTATTTGGTCTGAATACATTTCTCATGACCTTTCTTGATTTGTTCTGTAAATCTACAGTATGTACCATTGTTAAAACTGTCTGCAAAATTGGGAATATTTGGATATGCTGGGGTTCAAAGGTGATTTTCAGCAGTTATTCAGTAACTCCCCCTCAAATAATTCACAACATCATACTTTCCATTGTGCTTTAGGTTAAAAAATGCCACACTGTAAGCTGAAAAGGTTACAAAAGGTGGCAGTCAAAAATGAGGAAGCATTTCAGCAAAGTCAGCCTTAGCAAAAGTGAATACATGGTAAAAATATACCATTTCATTTAAGAGGAATGCACTGGATTTCTGTGAATAACTTTTTTTGGTGTCAACTGGTGTAAGATGGTCAGTATGTGAATATTGTACAGTTAAAAGTTAGGCACTCCTGTTCAAATGGCACGTTTCAGTGAAACTCTTAAGTGAAAAGACGGTGGCACACGCCTTGCGTGGTACAAACTTAAACATTATGTCTTTCGGCAGATTTTAATGCACATTTAAGATTTATTTACAGTTTGTAGATATTCAATAAAGTAAAAAAGTAGTGAATATGGCAAATGCACAAGTTTGGGCACCCTGTAAGTCAGAATTTAGTAATGCCTCCATTGGCAGAAATCTCAGCTTCCAAACATTTCCTGTAGCCAGTTAAGAGTGTTTCTGTCCTTGGTATGGAATATTTTACTTTCCATCTCCTTGCAGAACTCTTTTAGCTCAGAAGTATCCACCCTCTCGCATGCACTGCATGTATGCAATCTCCCCACAGGATAGTTTTTGTCAATAATATTGTAGCGCTCTCAGATTCACGTGGGTATGTGCCCTCGCCGCTGCCGCCTCAGGTTGGCTCCCCCCACCGCTGGGGACTCGAACCCGGGCCTCCAGTGTCACTCAACAGAGACCAAGCCAATTGAGCCAAAGGGAAATCTCCCGTCAGCCCGACGGCTGCACTCCCTGCTATTCACAGGGAAGGGCAGTGAAGTCACTGCGCTGGTAAGCTGGCTCGACAACCTGCAATGGTGGCCATTTGCGTTACAATATTCCAGTCTGAGGACTGTAAAGATCATTGCAAAACCTTAATCTTTTGTTCCTGTAAGTACTTCATAGTTGATTGTGAGGTATGATTTGGATCGCTGTCTTGCTACAAAACTTCTTGGAATCTTGTTAGGATACATGGCATCATGGACTCCATCAATTTCCTTGAGATTTTAGATCAACATCTGGCTGTCTCTGCCAGGAGGCTAAGACTGGGTCGTGGTTGGATCTTTCAGCAGGACAATGATCCAAAGCATACCTCCAACTCCACACAGAAATGGTTCACTGACCACAGAATCAAGCTTTTGCAGTGGCGATCCCAGTCCCTGACCTAAACCCCATTGAAAACCCATGGGGTGATCTGAAGAGGAGTCCACAAGCGAGGACCAAGGACTCTGAAGGATCTGGAGAGATTCTGTATGGAGGAATGGTCTCAGATCTCTTTATATGTGTTCTCCCACCTCATCCAGCATTATAAGAGAAGACTCTGTGCTGTTATCTTGGCAAAGGGAGGGTGCACAAAGTACTAAATGCAGGGTTGTCAATAATTGTGACACGTTTATTTTTTTATTTTATTTTTTTATAAGGAGTTTTTTTTTGTCTGAATAATTTCACCTCACCAAAAAGTTAGATTTCTCTCATATTTTCGGTGTAAGATCAAGCTGATAAACAACAAACATATTTTTTTCTCATCGTTACCAATAAATCTGGGGGACACTGTATGTGCTTGTTAAATAATAAGGCACTGTTACTACATGATTTTAGAACTGATAGGAATCTAGACTTTGTTTAATTAAATTCCTGGCACAAGCAAAGAGAAAGCCTTCCGTTGAATCAGACTGCATCTCGCAGACAAACATTCTTTGAGAAATGTTTCTAAACTGTCGGAGGCACAGGTGGTCTGATCATGATCCTCATTCTCATTTCCATTACAATACCTGAGTATTCATCATATGAGTGTTGTGTTTTAAAAGTTTCTGCTCAATAACCATGGGGTCGTGATTTCAATATATAGATCTCCTAAGCTTCAGTTTCTTCACTGACTTTGGGACGTTACCTTCTAAGATTTGTTGATATTTAGTTAAATCCATTCTTCCTGTTGCACAATAATTCCAGTACCACTGGCTGCCACAGAACTCAAAAACATAATAGATCTGTAATAGATTCATGGTTGGCAAAGCGTTCTTTCTTTCAAACAGTTTGCACTTTTTTTCCTCTAAATCTTCTGTGGTTGTGGCCAAAATGTCCAATTTTAATTTCATCAGTCCACATACTTTAGACTTTGCCTTTCGTGATGAGCTCGTAGGAAACATTTCCAACAACAGCTGCCATGCGGCTCATTTTTGTGTAAGCAATGCTGTACTGCGGACCTGTGGAAAAAGACTCCGGTGTCAGATAAACTTTCATGTGTGTTCTGCTTTGCAGATCTGGCCTGTTTGGAGGAGTTCCACCAGAGATATTTCTGGGTCTTCCAGTTCTTGCCTAAACTTCCACAGTTCCCTTTAACATTCATTAATAATGCTTCTGACAGTATAAATTATAAGCTGGAAGCATGTACAGATCTTTTTATAGCCTTCTCCTACTTCGTAAGAGTGAATTAGTAGGCCATTTATAGTAGTTAGTAGGGTCAGAGTATTGGATCAGCCCTGGAATTGACTTCATCTGACTTGATTTAAGGCCTGATGAGTCGTCAGTCAAGATTTGGGGTCTTTGAAAAACATAAATTAAAAGTAGTAATGAATTACGTGAAGGGTTCCCAAAATTTTGCATGCCACATTCACTTTTATTATTTTTGTTTCAATCTGTAATTTTGTATTACAATATGTTGTGCAGAAAAATGGTGGGTTTAACTTTGTACCATGTAAAGGTTGTCACCTTCTGTTCACTTAGAGATTCACTGAATCATACAGTTTCACCAGGGATGCCTAAACCTTTTGCACAAAACTGGAGCTTTCCGACAAGAAAAAAAAATGTTTTAGCCAAGCTTTTAAAAGCTAATCTCCATGTGTAGTTGCTAGTAAACACAATGTAAGAACCAGAATAAGTGTAAGAAAAATCAGGTGTTTATTAGAAAGATATGTGTATAAATGAACACTGTCAGTATTTTAAGTTTGTTTTTTTAAACCTGTGAAAAAAAAGAGGGAAGTGAATAGAATATGCAAAAGAAAGATTTAAGCAAGCACAAACGAGAACTTTTATTGCTTCTCTAAAATTCTGAACAACCTGCCTGTGTTTCCCGACAGCTGTATTTTTAAACACCATATGAACTGCTATGGTTATTAAACTTGGAAGCTTACAGAACATATTTTCATGTCCTACACAAATTACTCTGCTTTTTGTTTCTTTTTTTAGTTTTGTGCTTTAGAGTTCTATTGGCGGAAAGCTACCAGTATAAGCACACAGCATTTTACTGACGAAAAGGCTGGGATAGTCATTTCACACATTTTGAGTTCAAGCTTAAATCTTATGAACAGTTTTATTTCAATGTTTCTAGACCCTCCCTTGATACAGTGATGCACAGGCCTATTTCCTTGGTTATATTGAGACAGTATTAGTGAGATTTAAATTGGACTTGTAAAAAACGCACCCTGTAGTTTATGTAAGAAATGTCTGAACTCGGAGTCTGTCACTGTTTTCTACTCCTGACTACTCCGCAGTAAAGCAAACCATGCTTGTTCTGTAATTAATTTTGAAGTCTTTTCTAGTCGTATCCATTTCAAAGACTTTATTTTCAAATAAAATATATATCCTTAAAAAAGCACTAGAAAATATGAGCATTGAAACAACTTGCACTTCACTGTAGTTGTGTTATTGTCCTTTGAAATACAGATTCTAGAGCTGTCCAGAGCTTGTTAAATCCTCTAAGGTAAAGCAAGTTGCTGCTTTTAGAGATGGTAGGGGGTCCTGAGTGATTGGTCATTAAAGATTCCAAGTCTCTGGTCAAAAGATTAAGAGTGTTAACATCAGTGTCCTGGCTAAATTCCACTTTAGACTCGAACAATCTGGCCCACCTAAATTTCCTTCTTACTTCCACCAGTGAAACAATTTCTCCTTACTTGATCTGGTGTGTATGAGGCTGTTGATACATAATGGCTGCCAAGCATCACCCGGGTAGGTTCTGCTCCTCAGTGATGCCACACATCTCTTCTGCATTAAAAGCACTTTAGGGTTTTTAGAGACGACAAGCAGAATAAAAAGAACATGGAAACGTAAAACTTATGCTGAGAGTAGGCATTCAGCCCATCAGCGTTTGTCATTTTTTCTATACACTGAGTGATACCATCAGTATGAAGAGTACAGCATTTTCTAGTGTTGTGGCAATTTTGGCTTTTAAAAAGTGTTACCTCTTACTTTCCTCCATGTTCTCATCACTAATCTTAATTTGAAGTAATTCTTTGGATTGGAAGCGGTTTGGTACGACTTTTGGAGTCGCTTTTAGAGTCTTACAAAGCTGATTCCTTAATTTAAATAAATGCGTAGCTTTTGCAGGGTGCTTGCACTACTAGTGTGGTTACACCTGCTCTGCCCCCGCAGGTCCTCAGACTCCAGTATGTGGGGAAATGCCCACAGAAATGTGAAAGATTTGTCTGAAGGAGCTTGTGCCATTGAAACTATAAGAGTTCCACTTGTTACCACAACACCCTTCATTTCCTCCGAGTTTGCCGAGATGTAAAAAAGAAACTGCGCTGTACGGAAAATTGTCAAGTTGTTGTTGTTTTTTTACCAGGGCAGAATTTGCCCTTAATTTATGGAAAGTTTTTAATTTGTATGTCCTATATGTAATATTTCAATCAAGCTAGAGCCTAAGGAGGAGTAGAAAAAAAACCTAAATGTTTTCACTTCAACATACTTTTGGAATATAAAATGAGTTCTGCAACAGACTGTGCACTAGGAATAAACATTTTGAATGTTTTAACGATTATTTTTCCATTTGTACAGACATCTTTGGTCTGTATAATATGTGCACTACAGCATTTGTATTTGACTTTAAAAAAAACCTCACAATGTCAAATTCAGTACATCACCCTACCACTGCAACCTCTATAAAGTAGATCTGTATGAATGTTTTTAGGCCTTTTGTAAAATAACATTTCAACGAATTAAGTTACAAGTTTTGCTAAAGTAAAGAACAAAAAATACTGCTGTGGTATTTCTTTCTAACTTGTCAGATCACACTATAGACAAACTTATCTTCCAGAAAATACATTTTAAACTTATTTTATGACCTATGTAAATTCAACTTGGTTTCCTGTTCTTTTTTGGTCAAAGGTTCCAGTTTATACTGCCTAAAGAATGGAAGACAAAATATAAGCCAGTATGCATTCACCTTGCGGGCACGGGAGATCATGTAAGTGTGCTGACCAGTAACCCCTGCAAGAAATAACTTGACATAGCTCATTACAGTGCCGGAATGTCTGAATGTGGTTTTCAAAGAAAGAAAGACCTACTGTTAAAGTACCGTGATGTATCAGTTTTGCTTCTTACCTTTTCTTTGTAGCAGTCAGATGGCACGAATATGCCAGGTTGTTGTCAGCATGTCTGGCCGTATTCTCTCAGACAGTATTTCTGCTCATTGCCGTGTCATGACTTCCTTCCTGCTGTCTCACTTACACTTTAAAAAAAATTGTCTGCCACAGACACAAGACATCGGCGTCTGTTAGACATTGCTGTTAATAAGGACTGAAATCCAAACTACTGCTCTGGACGGGCTACAGAGAGCTCTGTCCAGCTCTCGGTTAGCAATAATTCAGGCACATGGTGCTATGGCAACTGCCTGTTACCAAAGAAAATCCCTCTGGTTTAAGTTTCTGTTTTTCTCATGAACAAAAACTCCATTATCTTCCTGTTCCAAATGTGAATAGTGTACCTTGAGTGCAGTGTACCTTGAGTGCACACACAATCTTGGATTGAAAAAAAAAATGTAAGCAAAGCATTTGTATTCTAAAAGATGTCAGAGCCAATAAATTAGGATTTTTGCTGGTAAAACTGTAAGCAAAAATATTCATTTTATTTATGGTGCAAAATAGTCCTATGTATTGCCGTGCTTTTAATGAGATCACCTGTGCCTTTTTTTTCCAGTTTTTTTGGAGAAGACGCACGCTCATGGCCCGACCAATGATAAAAGAGACCAGCATGGCATCACTGCTGCTAGAAAACCCTTATTATATCCTTCACTTCAAACGTTTAACCCAGTAGTACACAGGAGACAGGAGTAGTCCAGAAGCGTCCTCTTATTACTGGTACGAATCCATTCATTCCTAGGTCCTCTAATTCGCTGTGAACAGTGGGAAATCGTCAGCATTCACTAGTGAGAGTTACCACATTTGGATAAGTTCCAGCTTTTTGCATTGTCTGATGAGTCATTCAGTTGAGACAGAGTTCCTCTTTGAGACACCTGAAATGGAATTGGGCTGCTTTTAGATTACTTCACTGCACCTTATCATCACAGACATCATGCAGAGTTTTCTCTAGTAGAGGCGCTCAGAATGATTCGCTGACTGCTTTGGCTGCATGAAAGTTGGAACAGTGGAAAGTCAGGTATATGATGTTTCTTTAGGAGAAAAGAAGGTCATCAGAGAGGTTGGGTCAGAAGACCCAGCTCAAGAGGACATGTGGACAGACAGGAAAGCTGACTCCTGGTGTTACAAAAACGGTGCTTTTAATGCAAGGTGAGATCCGAGGAAGCAAGGTAGACGTTTCAGAACCTAAAAAAATATTCTTTTAAGTTTTTACATATACGAATACATTCTAGTAAGAATTATTTCTGATGTTATACCTCTCGGTGAAAATGAAATTGAACTAAAAATACTCCCCTTAGCACCTGTACAAATAAGCAAACAATTCTTTCCTGTTCAGTAATGTATCAGAATTCTACTTTTTTCTGTTTTTATATGTTGTGCAAAGACGATATATTTAAATAGCTGTCACAAAATTAAACAATTTACAATTAGTAATTTTAATATATTGCATATGCCATTTGTTTAAAATAGACAAATATTAACAAATGGTAAATTGCTTTCAAAACATTTGGAAACAAGATAATCTAACCATAGCAGATTTCTACCCTGGAAAAGATTTATTATTTACAATTGTAAATAATGCCAAAGATTAGTGAATGACATATCCAATACATTTATACTCTACCATACTATAGGTGTTATAGTGTGAAAATGTAACTTTTTGCTGATATACTTTGGATAATTATAGTTTATTAAAATGTGTCTCTAAACAGCGTTTTGTATATGTGCAGGATTTAGAGAACTTTCATATTTACTGATACTTCCTTGACTTAAATCATACATGGCTACAGAAAACCAAAAGACCAGCTGTAAGTATTTTTTTTTCATCAATGCAATAACACTGAATATATTTGTGGGTTAGTTTGCAAAGAGATATCGTCCATCACTGTTTATTAGGTCTTAGTTACAGAACTACCTATACTTACATCTCAGATTTCATGTTTCCTTTAATATCTCGTGTTGCTTTTGCAGATGTTATGAGCAGTGCTACTTTACGGTGAAGGTTACATTATGGATGCATCAGATTTGCGAGTAGTTTATACAGTATTTCACTATTCACAGTCCTTAATTTGTAAATCACTGGAACTCACTGTCAATGTGAGAGTGGATGTAGAAGCAACAGAGGTACTAGATTGCTTAACCGTGACATGCGAATATCATCAATGTATTGCGCTGTCAAGCAACCACATTGATAAAATGCAAACAAGGTTAACTTCAAAAACTTTAATGAGTAATTTCATATACCACAATCATATGCTATTAGGCCTATTCTATTTTTGAAATATCGCCGCTGTTCAAAGGGATTCAGAATCTCACTATATTAAGTACCAGTGCAATGCATTGAACGTGTTGCAGCAGTAATGTCACCCTCTAAAAACCTACAGTAGGCAGTGTAGAATTCGTGCCAGAAGACCTAGTCTTTTTGCACAGCAAAGTTCGTTGCTGTCTCTAGAATGTTAAATGGCACCGTCTGCTCTGGGCTTGCATGCTACCATGATTAAATCCCAACATGGGCAGAGCCAATCTACAGGTGTTACATATACAGTACCACCCTAGGTTAGCATACTGATAAAAATATATTTTATTTGAAGGATCAAAATATTTTGGGATTTTCATAATGCCACCATTTAATCACATTTAATTATTTAAAATTGATTGAGGCACTTTTTTATTCAAATTAGTAACATCATCTAGCATTAACCATATTTTAGGAGCGTGCTGCTCTATCTTCTCAAGCAATTTCCTCCTCATTGTTTAATATGTTGTTGAATGTTTGAGCATGCAGCATTGTAATGCAAAGTATGTCCTACAGCAGTCCCATTCACTTCCTGACAGTCAATTGTGTTCAAACCCATAAGTGAATTTATGAGTTTTAGCCTCTTTGTAAGCTGTATCAGTGGATACTTCATTATGTGGATTGTTCATTAACGATGGTCTGCACTCAAGTCTCCAAAATGTGGCTAAATCCACTTTGGTTCTAGCATGTTCTACAACCTTTTTCTTGGTCCCCCCTGCTTTGTTTAGCATGTGGAGGAGATCCCAATGTATTTTACCTACGATATTATCTCTGGACCCAGGGAGCCATGGGAGTTTGTACTGATTAAATTTAAATTGTTCAGTAGTGCAGACAGAGACAAAACAAACTCGTTACCCAGTTTCACATACTCTCCTCTTTTCTCTTGACAAATCACCTGGCGTATCCAACTCCTCGTTTTCTACTGCTGAGCTTTTAACCAGTTCCTTACAGGGCACACACCTGTCACACACCTGCTCTGCACACCCACACCAAGGCCAGCTTTCCCAGAAGCCACTTAACCTACCAGCATGTCTTTGAACTGTGGGAGGAAACCAGTAATGTTAGCCACTGCTTGTGACAAGGAGGTGCAGGTGCTGTGCTCAGAGAGTTCAACTGAGGCCAGCCCAGCTAAAGGCTCACAGTGACTTCAGCAAGAGACACACCACTTTCCTTTACACTGTTATGCCGCTGTTTAGTAGAGCTGCAGTGGGTTGGCAGGCCGAGACCCAAGTGCAAGGTTTTGGGGAACTCTGGGGAAACCTGGAGAGATGAGTAGAAGGAGAAATGGCAAGAGAAGGATGAGCAGGCAGGCTCAGCCAGGAAACGAGCTTTGCAGAAAGCAGGCTGTGGACTGCCTGCGGAGGGGAAGGGCAGAGAAGTTCGCCTGGATTAAACAGAGAGCTGAATGTGGAGCTGTTGGTATTCCAGGGGGTTGGCTTTGGCACTCAGATGAAGGTAAAAGACTCTGCTGGATCGAGGCTCAGAGAATTAATTAGAAGTGTTTCACAGGCGTGTCAGCAGTAGTTTAACACTGACAGCTTTGAAGTCGGAGCACCGGTCTAGCAGAGAATCCTGCCTTTAACAGCCCACCTCATGGGATGATTGCCGGTGGACTGACTGCCTGACTGAAGAGTACTGTAATTGGCCTAATGGATAAGCGTCCCAACCTAGTTCACACGGGGCTGAATGCACCGGTTGCCCTAGGTAAGGGCAGGACATGAGCCGCTCCCGGCGCTGACGTGACGTACTGGGCGCAGCAAGAGCCCTGCAGGCAGGCGTGTCACAAGAGCGTAGCTGGTTGTGTCCCAGGTCTGAAAACAGCTGCCAAATCCATGCTGGGTGGGTGTATTATAAGACAAAAAATCCTCTCTCAAGCATTGAACCTGTGTGCTCTTATGCTTTTCTGCAAATCCTCTCTTTACTGTGTTTTCTGTGATATCCATGGTATGTTTAGAGGTATTAGCATATAGACAAATTAGAATGTCTTATATATACTGGGCTACTTTCTTAGTCCCCATTCATTTGTTATTTTTTGGGTAATTTATGAGAAACTCATTTGAAATTTGAGTCTTTTGAAGTTGAGCTTTACCATTTTAACACCTCAGTTGTAGAACGGAGGGAAGCCTGAGATTGTTGGGGCCTGTTTTATGATCATCCAGGAGTTGATGCTGATTCTGTGTATCAGTTTAATTGGAGTGGCACTGCTACTGGAAACAGCGAGTCTAATCAGTTCAGATTCACTTGTGAAGACTGCAGGGCCTTAGCCGGGTAAGACCCAGGATAAAACATCAGGAAAGTGGGGGGGGCTTGTGGGCCCATGCTGAAGAGTGCTAATGAGGAAGGCCCTCTGTGTGCGGGCAGGCGCTCCAGTCTGAAGAACGTGTCGGACCTGTTTGTGATGGGGGGAGCCCTGGTGCTGGAGTCGGCGGCGCTGCTGCACTGGCTGGAGAGGGAGGGCTACTGGCCCCTGGGAATGACGGGCATCTCCATGGGCGGACATGTGAGTGACATCACCGTGGGCCAACTGCCACGAGCCGCGCGTTCGCAGCGACGGCGTTTCAGGTGGATTCCTTTGGTATCAAATGCATTTAGAGGGAGGTTAAATGTGTAAACCCGAGTGTAGTTTGCATATTGATTTGAGGTACCAGAGATAATTCTAGAAACGGAGAATCACATTTAGTAGTGTAGTGATATTGTATGCTGGCTGCCATTCAGGCCTTCAGAAAGTGCTGTACCTGCAGACGCATCATAATGTACAGTACAGAGGATTGTACCGTTGGCTAGGATGCCTGGAAAAGAAATCCCACACAACGAGCATATAAAAAACTACAGCTTTAGGTAATGAGAGGTGCTCCATAGGTTGCATTACATCTCTACCCAGGGAATGAATTCTGTCCCACATTATCTGCATTTAAAACTTATTTTTTGTATCCATAATTATTTCAGAACTCTATAACCGTATCAGAAATGCTGTACCATGCAAAAGTATTCAGACCCTTTAAAAGTTTTCAAGTGATGCTGGGCGGGATAACAAATGATACACATTCTTTGCTGATGAATATTTTATTGGAAAGTCCCATGCTCAAACAGAAGATGTTTATAAAGACAGAATTATTTATCGGCAAATATCTGATCATTAATATTGGTAGAGCCACCTTTTGAAGCAATAACAGCTTGAAGTCTTTTGGTGCAGGTGTCTGGTTAGGAGTGATGTTCACTCATTCCTAATCAAGCCTGGACTGGGACCGAGGTGCATCCTGCGGTTGCCAACATTCCCACAAGCTCTAAACCTGCGCCTGAGACTGATCAAACAAGGACATGATGCCTCTCGATTAGACCGACAATCTTTCCATCAGACAATCAATTAAGATCTCAGTCTGTCTAATTGAGTTCCCTATTTAAGGCAATTCAATGCACTGTGCCGTTGCTCCATCGCTGAGCTTGCTAGCACTCATGATAGCTTTCTCCTCACTCTAGAATTACTACTAGAATTTTGACCCTGTTTTCAGAGGAACATCGGCTCAGCGGAGAACTCTTTCTCAAACTCGCCAGCCCTTCTCTTTTTTCACCATTGGCTGTTGACCTATTTTTTTTTACTGGCTTTCTTTTCAAGGCTTCCCCTGCATTTGTGGGCTGGGAACTTTGCATTAGTCAATCAATCAGTTACCCTTCATGCTTTTGTCTGCTCCCTCCCTTTTCCCAGTGGAACTGCGCCTTTTTTTCCTTTGCAATGATCCAGCCCCCACTACCTGAAAGCTTGCCTGCCTGCATCACCTCTCTCCAGTTTATAATAATTTATAAGAATATTGCTTTGAAATGTTGAAAAAGTCACAAAAATAACTACAAAAAACGTTATATAAAAGCAGGAATTATTATTTACAATATCAAAATCTATTTTCTTATTAAGGAAAATTCAGACAATGTCTCTGTGTAAGATTTTTAACACTTTATTTCACCAATATTTATTTTATTTGCTATTTGACCTTTCTTGGGATCGATGCACTTTAGATTGTGCAACAAAAACTTGTGCTTCATCAGAGAAACCTAGAACAGCGCTCTGAGATCTGTGCTTGGGCTTCTACCCAAGCACCACGCTGCAGCTCAGCCTCACAGCCTCTGCAGCAACATTCCTCTTGGCAGATTTGCACCAGCTCATTTGTGTTTATTAGACAGTCCTTGTGAACTGCAGTTTTCAAATCATTCCAATGGATTGTGAAAGTGGTTAAGGTTTGGACTTGAACTGGGCCACTCAAGGACATTCACCTTTATTCTTGATCTACACTGTTTTGGCTCTGTGTTTGGGATCATTGTCTCACAGATGTGATGAATATTCGCCCAGGGCTCCAGGTTTTTAGCAGGTTGAAACAAGTTCCCTTGCAGCATTTGCCTATACTTTGCTCCATCCATTTTTCCTTCACTTCTATCAAGATTCCTGGTCCCTGCTGAAGCATCCCCATAGCATGATGCTACTGCCACCATACCTCACTGTAGGAATAGTGTTTCTTGGGGCATGGGCAGTTTTAGGTTTCTACCACACGTAGTGCTTTGAATTTAACTCTATGTTGGTCTCATCTGACCAGTAAATGTGATAGCCACTTCAATGGTGAACATGCAGAGGCCAATGGTAAGGCAATTATATATCATAGTTAGGGTAATTTCTTTCACCTGTGTAAACGTAGAGCTAATTAATCGCAGGGGTCTGAATACTTATGCAAGCAGCACATTTCAGTTTTTGTCTTCCTTTAAGATATCTGATGACAAATATCTCTTTTTTTTTTTGACTATGTGAGTTTGCAATTCTAGCACTTTATATACAGTACAACAATGACCTGGAGATTCAGAGCAAATAATATAGATGCCTGAAAAATATGATTTGAGTCACTGCATACTACAGCAGAAAATAAATTCTGGAAAACTTTTTGATTTAAGTTACCATAAATCTTTTAATGTGTATGAATTACCTAAACCCAGTTACCCAGCACAAATCATAGCTATTTTAATATAGAGATTTTTGCCAAATGTTACCTTCTAAAATCAAGTACCCTACAGTTTGAAGGAACAATAAGAAGCACTATTAATTTCCTATTTCAGTTTAAGTTCTCTCATTATTCAGCAACTGTTATACTGGTGTTCAAAATTTAAAGAGTAAACGGTTTCCTAGGATTTAGGTTTGATAATATAGAATATTCTTTGAGCATAGCTCTTGCTTGTAAACCAAGAAATGTCCAACGTGAAAATTGAGCACACCACACAAACGTGCTCAAGTCCTCATCTCCTTACTTCACTATTTCCAGTGGAAATTCATGGGAAGGAATGTCACGAAAACACAATTTCAATCTTAAGAGATGGACATTTATGAATAATGGGTATAGTCAGGCAGGGGTTGCAGTAAAGCTAAGTGTTTCAAGAAACATGACATCTAGATTCTGGGGGCAATATGAGGGGATAAGAGACAATGTCCAAAGTCCTTCAAGATCCACAGCACCTTACAAAGACCGTTTTCTGGCTTTTACTGCCAGATATCAAACAGCCCTCACGGGTGGCCAGATCGCATGAGTGCGATTCACAGCTTTAAGAAGATCCGTATTGAGACCCACTGTAGACAGTAGGCTTTGTCTGAAGGGTCTGTGCACCACATATCCAGTGTTTTGTTTCCTGTTAAAAAACCCCAAGAGACAAACCCATATACTGTATCCTGGTGTCACCAACAAATTGAATGTGATCCTGAAAACTGGGGCATTGTTCTTTTCAGGGTTGAGTCAAAATTCATCTAGGAGGCTCAGTTTCATACCTCCAATTCCACAGAATGAGAGCATTTACAGAGGTGGTGCTGTCTGGGTCAGGACAGACATCATGGTCAAAGGTCACTGACTCCCACATCTTTGGAGGTGGGTTCTTGATGGGTTTCTGACATCTTTCCAAAGATGTTCTGGTCTTGGAAAGTGAAAATCTCACACATGCCCTGGCCAGCAGGATGACCACATGCGAGTCCCACAGGGAACCCTGCAGGATCTCAGGGAACTTGACAGATTATTCCCAGCATACAAAGATGCTGTGAAGCCTGTATTGCTCTAAGAACTGTTGCTTGTATTTTGCTCATTAAAATTTTAGGGGAATGCTTATTTCAGGATATTTTCAAGTCGTGGCATTCCTGAAGGCAGGGATCTCCAAAAAAAGGCCCTAGAGAGACACAATCTATCAGAAGTGTAACAATATGACTTGATAGGTTAAACATGCAGTTACAGTGCCTTGCGAAAGTATTCGGCCCCCTTGAACTTTTCAACCTTTTGCCACATTTCAGGCTTCAAACATAAAGATATAATTTTTTTATTTTATGTGAAGAATCACCAACAAGTGGGACACAATTGTGAAGTGGAACGAAATCTATTGGATTTTTGAAACTTTTTTAACTAAT